GCACAAGACAATTGCTGCTAGCTATTTTGCTAAAAAATAATACTATTTTAGATACTACAAAAAACTAAGGACTTTGAATCAGTTCTAAAACGATATATATCAAATGCTGGCCATTTACTGCACTATTGCTTATTGTTTAAAATATCTTTCTTGATATATAAAACTTATTAGTAGAAATATTTAATATTTGATCATCTTTAACAATAGACTGCCATATGTATATGTATAATGCTGTATTAAAAATTATAATATAATATAAATCAAGAATGATACTTATTGAATAGCCAGCATTTACTATATGTCATTTTAGCCTAGCTCTGAATTCATTGTACTTTTATAATATTATCTTTTAAATTTTAATCTGATCCTAAGCTTATGATCGAGATAAACAATTGTTTCTTAAAAAGACAAACCTATTGTAAATATCGCATAAATTTACCGCTACTTTAATAGTATACCAATAGAAAAACTTTCGTATGATTGGCTGTTTAAATCAATTTAATTTTACATTATTTATACAAATTAAAGTACTTTTTAAAAAAAAATAAAACTACGAAGAATAAACAAAAAAAAGTATATAGAAAGTTTTATTAGGGTTGTAGGACTCTAATATTAAAAATAATCAAAATCATTTCTGGTTTTAGAGAAGTTAGCATAGTAATAACCTAATTCTATCTATCTTTAAGAAGTTGCTATTATGCTAACTTCTCTAAAACCAGAAATGATTTGATTATTTTTAATACTAGAGTTCTACAACCCTAATCAACTTTCTATATACAGTTAACTCTGGATATAATGAACCTTTTTATATTGAACTCTGGATATAACGAACTCAAAATTTTTAAATTTTAATATTAGTTTGGTATAACAAGAGCTGAGGCTCTTAAGAAAACATAGTAATTCTATATAGCAAACATTTTTTTGGCTAGAATCTAGGGTTTGGTATAGAAAGAGTTGACTATACTTCTTTTTGTTTATTCTTCATAGTTTTATTTTTTTAAATAATGTAAAATAAAATTGATTTAAATAGCAATTATACAAAAGTCTTCCTATGGATAGTATACGCATAAAAATTTTCTGTCTCGTGATGATATATGCTAAAATTTCATTGGCCAAAGCAAACTGTAAATTGTAAATGCTCAAAAACTTAACTTTAATGTTAGTATAAGTGTGAGCATTAGTATGATAGGAAAGACAAGATATATAGCAAAATTTTGCAAGGAATTTTTTTTTAAAATACAAAAAATGGTTTTGTAATTGAAATTTTGAATATAAATAGTTTTTTAATTATTTTGTTTTTATTTTGTTTTTAATTCACTGTTTTTTTTAGTTTCTTTTCTCTGTATTTTTTTTTTTGGTTTAATTTTTTTAAAATTTTTTTGTTTTTTTATATATTTATTTTTTTTAAATATATAATTATAATTTTTTTTTATATAATTTCAAATATTGTTTAAGATTATTATTATCACCGATCCATGCATAGCATCTAATTTTTTTAGCATTTGTCTTTTCTTATGTAATATTACACCCAACTTTTTTCCAGTTTGGACCTTTTATTAGCATTACCCTTACTAATTTTTCTTTGACTAACTAATTTATTTTGTTGTAGCGTGATTGTATTTTGAGCTGAATTATATAAATCTTTTGCTAATAAGGAGATTTATTTAGGAGAGGTTTACTATCTGTAGAAGGTTCATAATCTAAGGAAAGTTCATCTGGTGATAATAGTTCATCCAATAATAAAGGTTGTTTATCAGATGATAAAAGCGATTCTTTATGTGATAACCAAGAAGATTTTTCATTAAATACCTATTCATCGTTAGAAAATTTTTGCAAAGACATTTTGTATAATAGTGATATTAATAGCAGAAAATAGAATGCTCTATTTAAAATGTATAATTAATAATACAAGAATACAAAAGATGGCAAAGTTTTACTTAATAGACTTAATAACTTTAAGGTAAAAAATGAACTTTTTACTATTTAGAATCTGAATCAGAGATAACTACTAATTCAATTTTTACGTGCATTTTTATAATTTTTACAAAAACTTTTATTGAATTTTATTATATTCTATTTTACTACATGAATTTCAAGAATCTCATAATTGAGGCTTGGGGCTATAAAAAATGTTTATTTAATTTTTCCTTATCAGACTTTTGATAATAAATAATATGTCTTTATTTTTTTTTCA